GTTCGTTCTACGGGCATTTCTGGTTCGGGGGAGAGTTCGGGTCGGGGGTATCGCGATTATTCGGGCAGCTTTCGGTCATGGGAGGTACTTTATGCAGGCGTGGGTGTTGTTTGGTCTTTGTTTGCCGGACTAAGCGATCGGGATCATTTCAAGATCGAGATCGGGTGCCTTGTGCCGTTTCTGGAATTTCTGCGAGTACCACACACCACCCCCGCGGCGCGTGCAAGTAGACCCACACAGTCCTAGTCCCGTGCAAGCTCATTAAGACTGTCCCCCAGCCGATGGCAGAGCGTCGGTGCAGAAAATTCGTCGGTTCGCCAGCACTTGGAGTCCGAGTCTCCTTCGGCGGAATAACAACGGAAGTTCGGCTCCCACAGTCTCACTCTCTCCGCCCGCCCGCCTCGCCTAACTCTCAAACGAGTGTACATACAAATACAGAGAATCCAGACTCCAGAGCCACCGGCGACCGCAGCTTTTTTCAAACTACTCACATAAGGAGATTTAATTTCGGCTACAAATTCTATACTCTGCTATTCATCGACATCTTCGGGACCCGGGTGCGGTTCGCAGAGAAAAAAACGGAGGAGACGAAGACGGAGGGTGGTGGGTGTGTGAGTATCTAGGGTTCAACATCCAACAGCATACTGGAATCATCTCAGGGACCATCGCTTATTTCGACGTCCGTCTGGACTCTGCCTTGAAATCTAACCAATTCAGACTCTCTTGCTTCATGAAACACATTGTCTGGACTCTGGACTCTTCCGCCCTGGTGAAATCCTTGTTCGATTGTGCACCCTTTTTCGTTCGCTCACTCCCCGAGTCACCCGTCCGTGCACATATGTCAAGTGACAACCAGAAACGTCGACGCTCACAGGTATGGCACCACTCACCTCATCTATCATCTATGTAAATCAACTTCTCTGCCAAGATTTACCTCGTCGTCGAGTCTGTAGTCGCTGACAGAAAAACTCATTTCAAATTCCCCCCCCTGCATCCCCAAACGGTCGACGGATTCCTTCATCGGATGTATTCATTTCCTACGTTTTGTTCTCACACATCTCCCTCGCACGCGTACGGGCGCTCAGCTCAGCTAAATATCACAAGTTACTTATGCTATTCATCCTCGGCTTCGGTTGCTAGGAAAAAAGACAAGACGGAAGGGTGGGAATTCTGGTATCTGGGGCGCAACGTTCAACAACATACTGAGTTTTGTCGTCATCTCAGGGACCATCGCTTATTCGACGTTCGTCTTGTCTCTGTCGGCCTCAAGTCAAATCTGACCAAATTAGAGTCTCTTGTTTCATGCATCTTGTACGAGCCTGGACTCTACAGTGCCGTCATGTGCAATTCTGTACCTGTCGTTTGCTGTTATGGCATGAACTTCAACTTCACACTCTCATCTAAGTAAATCAACTTCTCCGGGATTTACCTCGTCGTCGTCGTCGGTGGAGTACCGAGAGTTGGGGCTGGAACATCAATTCCTTCATCGGATGTATTCATTTCCCAGGTTCCGTTTTTATATCTCGTCCTCCCACCTTCACGCTCAACACCACGAGGTAAGGGCATTTCCTACTGTGAGTGGAATGATGGATGGATGTATCACGTCGACCTGCAATCACACGAGGAGAAGGGCATTCAAGAGGGTATAGCAGTTTACATATTCTGCATGTGGTAGTTTGGACGCCCAAGTTGACTCATCACCTCGAATTAGGAACTAACTCACTTTCTCCGTTCACAAAACGACGCCCATTTCCCGTCTCCAGGGACAACAGGAGCTTCTTCGACTGGACTTCTTGCTGTTTTAGCTTTTACTAGTCTCACCTTCGCTGGGATGCATACATCGGTCGAGGACTAGGAATCCAACCGTTGAATGGAAGCTCGGATGAGTAGAGGCGCCGGCGCCAGGACCATCCACCCCTCTCAAATCGATTCAGGAAATTTCCGAGAGCTACATACCACAAGTTCAGATTCTCACCAACCCTCCGAACCTCCGAACACTATGACAACTGCACGCGGATCCCCCTATCTGAGTGAGTCATGATTTACAGCTCGAATTTGAATTCGAAGACCCACCTACTTGGTTGTTCTTTTTAAAGTGGAAATGAAATCAAGCCGGGGACGCGCAAGGCTCTGGCCGTGTCTTGGAATTTCAAAGATGGTACATAAATGCTATGTGCTCCCGCGTCAACTCGCAACGCAAAGACAGCAGACAGGCCTGCAATCTTGAGTTGCCGATTCGTCATTCAGATTCGCAGAGCTGAGTATGCGTGTGCTTGGCGTTTACTTCAGAGAGACTCTCACTCACCCACCATATCCTGACAACCAATCCCTCCTAGCCGCCACCCTACCTCCCACCGAATTCGAAACAGGGGCTCAGATTGGCGCTCAGATAGTCTTGAACCCTCATTTTTTCCCCCCAGTACTTACTACATCACAATCACCGCAGAGTTCATTTCGGGTGCGCTTTTCAACTGGGAAGCTCCGACTGTGTCGGAGGAGACCTTGCTTGCAGAATTTGTTTGGGAATTGCATTCCCGGGCCCTCGCGTTGGAATCTGAGTTCTCTGTTCACTTTGTGTATATTTTAATGAGAGACAGGAAACGGGGAGAGGGATGTACCACAGGATTCCAAACAATAAGCAGCGAGGCGGATGATTTCAATGCATCGTGGTGGAAGCTGCCAGTGAGCCCAGGTATTAGGCTACCACTTTTCTTGGCTTGCTAGCACTGTGACGGGATTGTGGTGCGAAGAGGTGAGCTAACTTGACACAGATGCAACGTGCTGACCGACGCCACAGTGGGATTTGTCTGCCCGCCTATAGAAGGGAAGCGCACGGCAGAGCAAGCAGAGGGAGGCTGCTCCGCCGCGGCGACCCGGGCTCAGGGTCCGGGTGTAGCCTATCAGTCACTCCGTCATGTTCCGAACCAGAAATGTAAGGAACTTGCGCCGTCGATTGATACAGAATTTGCGGGGGGGGGGGGGGGACTTTTGTACACTGGGCCTCTGCTCCGGCGAGCTCGGGGCTTGCGGTCAACAAAGCAAGGTACTACTATGTAGGATTGAGGAGCCAGCTAGCTCAGCCTACCAGTAGTAACTTGCCAGTAACTGTAGTCTGCCAGTGGGAGCATTCAAGGGAGCATTTGTTGGCGCGCGTCGTTGGTCCAGCCAGCAGTGAGATCAATATTCGGCGGGTTTCCGCCTGACCAAGGTGGCGGCAGAAATAAGTAGTAGAGAGGTTGAGGAAGACAAGGGTGGTGGGCGTTGATGTCAGCGGTGGATTCTGGATTCAAACTCAGAGATGATATCATGTCAGCTTTGATCAATCATGATCGGAAGGTCTTGTCGGGTTACATCCGGATTAGGTAATTAAGGGTCTCCAGAGACCTTGACAAGCAAGGTAACTTCTTCAACTTGAAACATCTGCTGTGCGGAATGGCATGGGTACAAGCACCTTATTGGATAGACGGCGGGTACACGTAGTCGGACGGCAGACAAATTAGAATGACTGAACAAGAAGGCAGGCTAACACAAGAGGCCAGAAACAAGGCCGGCCGGACGCGTCATGTTCCGAATTTAGCCTTTTCAAGTTGAGAGAACCAACAGGATCGCTAAATTCAGATGCTGTTGACCTTGCGATTGGGAAGGAGGGTCGGATTGGCAGAGGGCCACGCAATCCGAGATCTGGATGCCGCCGCTGCGTTTTTGGTTCATCAAAAATACTGCAACAGTTTGAGCGGAATCGAAACCGTGCAGATGATGAACGGATTTCAAGCGAGGCGCCGACTCGTCTTGCAGCGCTGGATCCTTGTCGTTTCTTCTGAAGTCTCCGACAGTCGACGAAGCCACCGCTGTTGAACAGCATTTTTTCAAAATCCGCCTGTGCTAACGGAGGGACACGCAACTCTGAACTGCGCCCTGGTCAGCAAAAAAGAAAAAAGAAAAAAAGACTGGCCAGATAGATTGGGAATCGAAACCGTGCGCCCAGATGATGAACGGATTTCCAGAAAGGGTCCACGCGTGTTAGAGGGTCTGGCCCTCCGGATGCTGGAGTTTTTCAACTGGGTTTCCAATCCCAGGTCTGGTGCGGAGGGCCGCGCAACTGTGATCTTGAAATGCCGCCGACCCCGCGTGTCTTTGTCTGCGGTAGCCAAGTGCCGACATCCTCAGTGGCAACGCGAGTACATATGATATTGAGGATCTTCGGTTGAAGTGCGCGGGTTTCGAAAAGGCTGACACTTAGGCCGCCGAACTACATAAGTCGAATCGCATCAGTCAGTACGAGACGAAGGACGTCTCGGTTGCCATTGGATTTTGATCATGCAATTTGTTCGTTGGACCCACAGATTTCCGAGTCCCGGAAGTGGCTATGGGATCCGGCCGCTCCGCCGCGGCGTGAATGTATTCCTGCGGCGTCTCAAGCGCCAATCTAACACACATCAAGAATTCAGACAACAAGTCGATGCAGATGGTGAAGAATGGAAGCTAATTACGGCGAATGAGAATGTCGTCATTCGGATGCACTCGGGCTCAAGGGATGATGGTAAGCTCTTAGCTGGAACGTTAGGTGGAGTTGAACCACCGCCCAACGGCGATGAAAATGGCAAGGTATCTACCTGCTACTCAACAGGTATTCATGCCCAGTTCAAACCGAATTAGACATGAACATCAAAAAGGCCGTGGTTTCACGGAAATACACCTTCCAGCGGAATCAAACAGCGAGCTTGCTAGGCTGCGAAGTGACATTGGCTTCAGCGAAGATAATACTATACACGAGATTGCCGCAGGAGGCACCTTGATGTTTGCCTGTGGTGTGGGAAAAGAGAGAGAGAGGATCAGCGGCCACCGGGGTCCGGTACTTCAACTTGATGATGAATCAATCTCCTAGAACTAGCAAGGTAACTCCGCCGTTGATGGTATTTGATGTACCGCTGATAGTCTTGATTACGCTCGATCCCACGAGCAAGCAGAGGCTGTATTGGCGTGACATGGCCCTCGTCATCGCATTAATGGGGTAGTGGTAACCTGGGTCGTTGCCATTGGTGATGATGCATTTCATTCGACCCGCCGGGGGTTCGATTCCCCCTTAATGCATTCTATGGGTGGCCATGTCACCTTTTTTGTTCGCCTGTGAGGTTCCCTAACTGAATCCGAGACAGGCTAGCGACCCCTTTGCACTCCTCATTCTGTGGTTCATGCTACCGACGGGTACCAGGTTCCTGTATACACCATCCTCACCTCTCGTCCACTGTTCTGCCTTTCCTCAGCACTGAGCGCCGAAGTCGAGACTCAAGCCCTTTCAAGTTTGAACACAACGATCAGCGACACAAGTCCACAGCTTGGCAAGTTTCACGAGGCCTACTCTCTAAAAGGACGTAGAATCACATCGAAGCGGCTCCGCGCGGATGAGTCCAACTAGAGGTGGTGGAAGTCGAGCTTGAGCTAAGGATCAAGAGGCTGGGAGGCGAGGCGGCAGATCTGTTGTGTCCATAAGGTGAGCCTCTGACCGGGAGCCAGGATATGGATTGATCAGGGAGGATGATAGAGCGGAATGCATAATGGTGTACATCTGAAGAGAACATAGAGAAACAAAGCGCAAGTGAAAGACCACTTCTAGGCAGGGCAGCGCGAGTAGATCCGCGCTGAGAATTCCCGGACGAGATTACCTTGCCTTACTGTCAGCAAGTATCGACGGTTGAGTATGTGACGGCTGAGTATGTAAATCACGTACCTCAGCGTAAGGAAGATCTTTTCAGAATGAACGAGGCCGATGATGGGGGGCGGAGGTATGGCGTTGACGAATGAGCGGGAACATGATTCGACATCATGATCCTGGTCTCTCGGAATTTTCGAAACAGCGACGTGATTTGTGACGTTTGCATGTCCCGCCGCGACGAAGAAAGGCGGAAATTATGTGGTGGGGTCTGTTCTTCAAAGAATAATAGTATGTACCGAGCTCGAGGAGCGCACCTGGTGGGATAGTTAATTCAGTTCCGTTCCGCACTTCAAGGCTTTCAAGGCCCACGGATAAACTACTCACGGACCTCGAGTCCTGTGAATGCATTCATCAGTTAAACTTCCCTTGACAGCGCCCATTCACAGACAGTGGCCACGAGGCTTGTTTGTAGTCCGTCCGCATGATTGTGAGCTTTGAGCGCATGGGTCGCCGCATGGCAGAGTAAATAGTCGTACGAGGTCAGAGGATGTCCAGTCTCTACCTATCTGGTGCAGCCTGTCAATGAATGCGTATGGGGCGAGAAGCAATCCAACTCACCGGTGCATGTGGTTCCCCTTGAACTAGCATTATGTAACGAAGACGCGTCTTTGCAAGACCGTTATACTCTTGACTGCAGCGGTTTAACCCATTCGTTGGCCGTTAAGTCGATACCCAAGGTCTCTGTGATACCGTGACCTTCCGGGCAACGTTTAGACTGTGATCGTGTCAGCAACTCTGCGGTGAGCCTCCTTCAAGGAGCTGCAGCAATCGCTTCTGGATGTGGCCAAATGGATAATTAAGTCGTGCTCGGAGAGTTGCGAGAGAGATTTGCTTCGATCTGACTGAGCGGTCAATCGATGTTGCTGAGTAGCCGGTCGTTCACGAGATTTTGCTTAGGAGATATCGTTTGTTGAGTGTAGACGAGAGTTTCGCAGGGTGCAAAAGGATTTGTGGCGGTATCGGGAGCCTCAGATAATCCAGATGATCATGAGAAGCAGAATCCAGACAATGAATGACTCGGGCTCTGGTGAGTCACGGACTCACGGTGCTGCATAGAGATTCCACGCGGACAGCGAAAGTCACGTTAAGAGCGTCGTATGAGCTAAAATACCCGGGGGAATTGTGAGGAAAAGGATAGCTTCGTTCGTGGTGGATCCAGCGAAACCAAGATGAGGGTGGAAGTCAAGAGCCGCGTGCTTACTCAGCTTCGGGTGCCAAAACAAGTGCACTTTCTGATCCGACCGCAACTGATCGTTGAATCTTCGTCTATTCATCCGCCTATTCCACACACGTCTAATACAAGGGAAAGATAACAAGACCCATACGAAACTGTACAGTGCGTGGGAGGCGATCGCCGGCCAGTGGCAAAACGACGAGAATACAACGATGAAACACGGGGAGCTTCCGACGCAGAAGTTGGGTCGATTAGATTCAGCTGGGTATCCATTCCAAGTAAGGTTCATAGAGCTGGTTTGTGGCTGGAATACAAGGGTTAGTTAGTCGTTGATCTCTCTCCCGGGATCGAAGGCCGCTGTAAAGTAACACAGATCTTGCGTCCATATAGCCTTGGACGTCAGCGCATGACCATCGAGCATGAAGGTGAGAGTACAGAAGAAAGAAAGAAAGACGTCGGATAATAGCTTCCGCTCAGAGTCGATTGGCCAACGCAGCACTGAATGAGATGACGAGAAATTCCAACGTCTATCTATTAGTATCCCAGCGGTTCCCAACGGCGGAGTCAGTCATGTGGGACAGGTCCCATGACATGGGAGATTAGAGAATGAATCATCGTTCAGGGTGGCGATAGAGTGGTTGACGGGTCACGGAGCGGACGCCGGGGTCGATGGTGGATGCTGGAGCCTGGCCATGCCAGTGGCGGGCGGGAACGGCGTACTCGGAAATATCCCCTACTCTAGCGTAGCAGAGAAGGGTTTCTGTGGGCGTGAATTGTCTGATCTCTCACAAAACGATGCAATCAGAGATTCTTGTCAGATCTTCATCAATGATGCAACTCATGAATAATGCATCATGGTTGCCGCCAGCCGGATCATAATGCCGCATACCTGTCCTCTCACCCGATCAAAAATCGGAGCGGCACTAGCGGCCACATTATTTGCTCACAAGTCTGGCCCGAAGCTCGTGTTCCGGCAAAGTTCAAGACACAAGCTGATATGCCCCGGTTTACGGAGCATCAAGAATTTTCAGCAATTGCCGAGCTGCCGAAGAGGCTGCCAAAGTCGGCCATTGTTGTCTTTCATGAAGAAACGGTGAACCCTTTCACTCAGACGTGACTTTGTACTTACTGACTGTGTGATGAGTCCAAATCTTTGCCAGTAACCATAGCAAACTCATCCGTGTGTAAGGTCGGGCACTTCGGGCGATCAAGCCGATGTGATGGACTTATCAATTTGGCAGAGTAGGGGATGGCGCTTGCCGCCGCTACCGATATTGGTCACACAGGGTTGGACCAGTGGAACGACGCCGCTTGAAGTTGGTGACACATAGAACGAGAATCGCCGGGACCTCCTAGACTGCGGTCTAGCATCGGGATGATTTCTCCGGGAGACGTCCCAGGAGTCTGAGAGCCACAGACAACGGGACAAGTATGGGCAGCTGCAGACCAGCCCACTGGCAATCAGGGATCGCCAATGTCTATTCCTATTTCCCATCTACGAAGACTGGCAGTAGGCAGTATGCGTTCGCGGTGGCGGTCCGCGACCTTGAATCCACTGGAGATAAATCCTTGCTCACAGTTCCACGTAGCCCGGGTGGGAGAAATCGTGACTACGCCTTCTCAAAGCTTCTCAACGTCGTCGATGGCAACCGCGAAAACCAATATCATGACAAGGCAAGATACGCGAGACGGCGGCGGTTTGCAAAGATTTCGCCTCGAGGCTCAGCCTGGGTTGCGTTGATCCAGGTTGGGAATAAAGTCGACGTCGGGGCCCGGGACACGTGTCCGTAGATGCAAAGTGCAAGAAGTCGGGGCAAGCGGGCGCCGTTGGAGACGAAGAAGAAGCGTTACGATTTTCGATCAATCGGGCGTGTGGACTTGTGGACCCAAGATCACCTCGAGGCAGATCGTCGACGATGGGCCTCGAGGCATCAGAGCATCAATGCATCAGGCGCCTTGGGGCGGGGTGATGCGGAGATGCATATCGCGAGTGATCTAATCTGAAATCATTTTTGCGGAGTGTATGTAAGCCCGTGTACGCACGGATGGAGTAGGGTATACCTAGACACGGGAGACAAGAGACAAGGCCGGCTTGCGGAGATGCATATCGCGAGTGATCTAATCTGAAATCATTTTTGCGGAGTGTATGTAAGCCCGTGTACGCACGGATGGAGTAGGGTATACCTAGACACGGGAGACAAGAGACAAGGCCGGCTGGACGCGTAAGGTTCCGATTGATCTGGATTTCCAAATTCAGACGATGTTTGGAAGTTCGAAGGAAGGAGGCTTCAAGTTAGCTAAAGTGCCGATCGGCTAAGGGCCACCACGCCTTGACTCTCAAGGGTCAGCGCACAAAAAGTGGCGAAGTCGAAGGCCCAATCGAAACCGTGCAGATGATGAACGCATGTCGAAGAGCATCTGGTCGTATTTGTTCAACTGGATTTGTGAAACCAGGTGCTGTCACGGAGGACCGTTGGCCCCCGCAGCTCTCGACTGCAACTTACCTTTTGCTCCAAATAATGCCTTACGGACGCGGTATTGAAGTTGAACAACAACTGCAATTCTCCTTATTCTAATCCGTCGTTGTGCGGAGACGAGCCTGGGAATAAACCTATTATGTATTGAGATGTGGACCGTTCATTTCTCGGGTTTGGTCATGAGCTCGAGTGACGTTCATTCGCCATCGAGAGCTGCACCATCTCATATGCACCAGCCGACTCTCACCTGAACGCTACCGACCTGGTTGCGCGTGGACGCGCATCTGCTCACTATGATGGTTGAATGCCTTTGGTTGCAGTATCAACCCGTTCCATTCGGGACCTCGTCTTGGCATTTCAATGTGCCAGCTGCCTTTTTTTTCTGCTACGGATAAAAAAAGCCTCACAAACACCGTAAAGTTTCATTCTAATCCGTGGTTCTGACTGGGTTCAATCAGCAGTTGTGCGGACACAAGCCTCGGCCCTCGGCATACAGCGCGATTCGGGGTTGTGCGATGGTGGGCGAGCTGACTGCACTTCCTTGGGCTTGGTCATGAGCCCGACCCTTGAAATCCGTGCAATAATATTCGCTATCGAGAGCCGCCCTATCTCAACGTATACCAGATGATTCGGTTGAGAAATACATACCGACCTGGTTGCGCGTGGACGCGCATCTGCTCACTATAGTCGGAGGGTGTTTGCGTTTGCAGTACCAACCCGTTCGATT